GAAAGTCTAGAGTACATTTAAATTGCTAGACCGATCATAGAAATATCAGCTATTATTTTATTCGCGTTTGCTGCATTGCTCGTGATGATTCTATCGTCCCATGACAATGTCGGTGTTCACTATCTAATTTGCAAATATGCACACGGCTAGATCATTTTTATCGCTGGATCTAAGTTAGGAGATTAGGGCTTGTTTAATTTTCAATTAGATAAGGTAGCAAGAAATGGATTGCTGTCGCGCGATTAAGTTGTAAAACGAATTTGCCAAACTATATCGAAATGCATATTCCGCAAGCGCAACTGCATCGTCGTTGTCGGGCGACTAGTTTCGATCGTATTGATCAGGATCGATAACGATTGTATCCTCCTTATTACTTTGTTAATCAACCATTATTGCAAACGCGTCTGACGCTCGTGCCGTCGTCGGCACGCTCGCTAACATCGATGATATATAATTATGAACGAGTAGCAAAAATATTGCTGTCTCCCTGTCTTGATTAAAACATCTGAAGATGGAGAGAGTACGTTTCTCCTCTCAATTATCTAATTCAACGTACCTCGCGAGAAAAACATGATGTCAAATCAAGATACGTGCTCCGCCGGCGGAACAGGTATAGCAGCCGTTCATCTTCTTTATTCACGTCAAGCTGGAATCCTGAACGAATGCCTACTATATACTTAAGCGCATTTAAAGAGTATCTTTGATAATGACCACTTTATCGACTTCCATCTTCTAATTTCGACATTTCAAAGAACGTAACACGACAGAATTATAATTTCTATAGAATGAAAATCTTGGACTAAATCCCGGCTCCGAGTATATCTGCTTTCCCTCTTCTTTCATTTTTTGTACGTTGAAGTTACAACTCCGAATATGATTCTCGCAAAAGTCCAGTAGACCATGTACGCCGTATATCGTGGCATGAAATTAATAGTTTCGTTTGGAACGTGTTTGACATTGCATGTCTACGTGAATGTGTGTGTATGTGGATATACATATATATGTCGTTTGATCAAACTGAATCGGGCAAAAACGAATCCCTCGCCCTTTGATCACAAATTATTGACATAAATTTTGGCAAACACGTGACATCGCCCGTCGACAGTTTACTCTCTTTCTCTATATCGGAATTGTCATCCGTAAATATATTTATATCTTCGCGAATAAGATTTATGGTGAGATACTAAAAACACAGATTATGTTACGGCAAAGAACCAATCAATCACAATAATCGTAGTTTCAAATTCTCTCGTTTCAATTCTTTACAACTTATAATTATCACTATATAGATTATGTGTTTCTCGTGTTACGTAACGACTCCTTTGCATCCTTTAAATGTACAATTACTCGGAAAACATTCGACATATCTTACGAAATTAAAGGAACGACATAAGCAATGCATCTTATTATACGCGAGATTCTAATCGTTTTGTATGAGACAGATTGCTCACGATTATAAAAATAATTGATTATCCATTATTTATGATCACAGAGGGGAAAATTAAATGGCGATGGAACCGACATAGGATAAAGAACATGCAACTATCGCTATATTATATCATTGTAATACATATATAAAAATATGCCTTTAGACGTATTATTCAATGTTACAAAAAGGTTTTGAACACAATAGAGGCAATGGATCTTCGCATAAAACGAAATATTAGTTAATATTAATCTAAGCATTATCCGATATCAATCTACGCATATATACGGAAAATTTTCATCTTCGTTATAATAATGAGCGTGCGCGCGCACTGAACAAAGAACTAAAAAACTATCCCAATAGTCGAAATGGAGACTCGATAAGTTATCAGTTGACAGGAGGAACAAACAACACTTGCAAAAAAAAATATAAAAAATGATTATTAAAATTATTCTTCTTCGCTTAGTTAAACAATT